GGAAATGGTTTTCTATAATATAAAAATGAATCGCAAAATGTGTTGGTAAGCGCATAACTCAACAACGCCTGGACCAATTTGGCCAAATCTTTTTTTAAAATGTTCGTTGAAGTTCAAGGATGGTTTTTACAGCGAGAAAAATTAGAATTATTGCTGGAAAAACCCTAAAAATAGCCCTTTTCTTTTTCCCATACAAATGATTACTAATCAAGATGATGTAGTCAACTATCCACCGGAATTTTTAAACTCGCTGGATTTGCCAGGATTGCCACCTCACAATCTTCAATTAAAGGTTGGATCGGTGGTTATAATGTTGCGAAATATCAACCAACCGCGTCTTTGCAACGGTACACGGTTAGCGATAAAAAAATTACTAAACAATGTGATAGAAGCAACTATACTCAAAGGAAAGTATAAAGGAGAAGATGTTCTCATACCGCGCATCCCAATGATTCCGACTGATGTGCCATTTGAGTTTAAACGACTACAGTTTCCAGTGCGGCTTGCTTTTGCTATGACTATAAACAAGTCCCAGGGGCAATCATTAAGTGTTTGTGGTATTAATCTAGAAAACCCATGTTTCTCACATGGTCAATTGTATGTTGCCTGTTCCCGTGTTGGAAAACCAACAGATTTGTTTATCTATGCGCCAGGTAATCAAACAAAAAACATCGTATACCACAAAGCACTACAATAATAATAATAATAATAATCTCTCGCTGGATGGCTGGATCAAGGGCCAGATACAGAAGGCGGTAATCCTGGACACGGCGCGCATTGTCAGGAGGTTCCTCTCTCTGCGGCCCTAACCGCCGGTAGCTTGGGCCCTGCCCCGTTGCTGGCGGCACCCTAGGTTAGGTTTTTTATACTGTGTTTATATTTTGTACTGTATTTTTTATTTTACTTTTTATATGCATTTTATAAAAAACCTAGCCTAAGATCTAAAGTAAATAAAGGAGATAATAATGAACATTCAATGTCATCATATGTCATTTCATTTTAGCAGCGATAATTATTCTGTTTAAATAAGTTTAAAATCCCCGGTCGAAGACGGGGCGAGCAGCTAGTATTAAATAAAGAGTAGTCATAATTATCTGAAAATATTTTGTCAAAGTATTAAGTTTGATTGTGTTGTAAATGCATTGCTTTTGATTTTTACTTACTTTCTAAACATGTTTTGTCGAATTAATGAATTACACGTTATGGAAATTAGTCCACACTAAACGATGTCAGCATTGCCTTTAAAATGTAAGGCAATTAATTATTACAAAAAAGACAAATTATTATCGTCATAAGCATTTATTCGCAAGCTTTTATTAATTACAGTTTAATTTAAATTAGAAAATTAATCACATAGATTGTTGCAATAATAATAATAGTAGCACTCCGGTTACGCTTTCGAAATAAGTTACTTAATCTACCAGCACGTGTATTTACTGAAACGTACATATGTATTGTACAGCAACACTAATAGTGTTCCCTAAATCATTGCCAAATAATCAGAATTCTTAACTACTAGCGTCGATCTATAGGCACTGTAGACAATAAATAGCGCTTCAATTGAGTTCATTCGAGAAAATTAAATTACGTAACACATCTACGCCATTATTTTAAATTAATTTAATAACTAATACGGTTCTTTTCTTAACACTTTCACTTTCTTCTCACATCAATACTGATACTGGGAATCATCTCTATAATTTCGAAATTGTTACGTACTTCTGGTTCGGGAATTTCAGATCGCAGATTCTCCTGTAGTTCAACCCCTGGACTAGGAATTATTTCCACTTGATAGTCAATGGCCGGTGCTTTGCTTGGTTGCAGTTCAATTAATGTTGGTTTTGCTTTTTCTGCAGGTGGATTTACCGGTATGGAAGTGCTAAATCCTTGTGCTATCTGATTTCCAGCATTTTGTATTCCTTGTTGAAGTTGTTGTCCTTGCGATTGTACAGATTCTGAAGGACCAGCGCCTGGAGGAACCTGTAAAGTCTCTTGAATGGTTGCTACTGGGTTCTCAGGAAGTGATAACGCGGGTGGGTTTACAGCAAACCCTGGAGAAGGTTTATTTTGTGAAATTTCTTGTGCAGCATTTACTATATTTGCTAATGGCGTTCCTGATTGAGACAGAATCGGTGCTTGAGAACTTGTAGGGATCAAAGGGTCATTTGCTGCAGTAGTCTGACGGTTGAAGGGATTCAAATTGTTAATTGCTTGACTAAGCTGGTTTGAGACGTTTTGAAATGTTTGAACAATGCCATTCTGTCCGGAAGCTGATTGTTCGTCACTTTGACTTCCTGAAGATTGCGTTGGTCTGAACGGATTCAAATTACTAATGGCTTGACCAAACTGATTCGAAACGTTTTGAAAGGTTTGTATAAAACCATTTTGAGGTGTTTGTTCATCACTTTGTGCAGCGCCAGATTGTTGGGCTGATGGTCTAAATGGATTTAAATTATTGATTGCCTGACTAAACTGATTTGATACGTTCTGGTATATTTGTGATAAAGGATTTGATGTTGAGCCTTCGTCGTTTTGAGAGTTAGATGCCTGTGATGGTCTAAAAGGGTTTAGGTTGCTAATTCCTTGCTGAAATTGTCCAAAGGCATTTTGGATTGCTTGCAGTGGCGGCGCTTGGGTGGAACTTCCCTCGCCAGCTTTTGGTGGGTCATTTTGGGATAAGGGTGGAGCTTGAGATGACTGTTGATTGAATGGATTAAGACCACTTACGCCTTGTTGAAATTGATTGAAGGCACTTTGAATCGCTTGGACCGGTCTGTTGATTGGATTTTGATCGGTGTCGCTTTGGGTACCGTTGTTAGGCTGTCTATTGGGTTGAAAAATCTGTTGTACTTGGCTGAACAAACCCTGGATGGGATTAGGTCTCGAAGAAGTAACTTCACTATCAGACACGGGGGATGCAGGAGGGTTTCCACTAAGAGATGATTGAATTTGCTGGAAACCTTCTTGGAAAAAGTTTATAACGTTTTGAGGGAAGCTAGAGTTACCTTGGCGTAATTCTGATACAAATTGCGAAGAAACGTCCCTAAACTTGGGCAAAATCAGCTCATTTATATTATTTTTCTGAGTTTTTAGCGTATTTGTAAAAATTCCTTCAACAGTGTTGTTTAATTTTTCCCAATGGTTATCGTTTATTGGTGAGCTATTGCGATAAAGATCTTTGTTTTCCATTAAATATGTGTCTATACTGTTCTTTATATCAGTGATACCGTTATAAATGATCCTTTTTGCATTTGAGTAGCTTTCTTCGTTTTTCTGACTAAAATCTTTATCAGATTCTAATGCAGACTTTAGTTTTTCTTCGATAAGCTTATTGGAATCGGTACTCACCCTTTGAAGTTCAGGACTGTCGGGTTTTTCGGCTGCTGCTACATCTGTGAGAACCTTGTCCAGTATTATAGCATACTTATCAGCCTTTAATTTTTCATCTTCGGCAAGTTGCGGCTTTTCGTCCAAGTTGTTTTTCTGTTCTTCCTTTTGCTCTTCTAAAGTTTCAAGAAGCTTCTTTGCTTGCCCGCTCGAGCTTTGAACAGACTCTTCTTGCAGGGACTCGTTTAATATTTTCGCTGAATCTTCCTTTTCTTCCTCAGCTTGCTTTTGTAGATTGACGGATTCACTTAAATTTTTCGTAGAAATTTCTTCTTGTTCATCGGGCAGATCTTTGACAGATTCTTCTTTCAACGATTGATTTATGACTTTTGCGGAGATTCCTTTTGGTTCTTCGGATTCTTTTTGAATGACATCTTCTTGTATGTTTTCGTTTAGAGTTTTTGCAGAAAGATTTCCACTTTCCTCGGATACGAACTGTGAAATACCGCTCTCATTTTTGATAGTTGCATTGGGATTATCAACAATGGATCTACTAACTTCGCTTTCTTCTTGAAGTAAATCGTTGGAATTGTTATTATCATTGGTGTCTTGTTCGACTGCTCGTAAAATCTGGGGATGTTCGTATATAATTTTGACAGGTATGTTGCCGTACAAGGATGCACAATTTGCAGCGGCAATGATAGCAAAGAACGCAAGACACTTGAACTTCATGATGCCGCAACAAGAACTGATGTTATTGAACTCCATTCTTGAATTTATATGAATCTGTTTTATAGATACATTTGATCAGCATTTCTTGGAAGAGGTAAAATTTTACGCCGTTTTGTAAAAGAGGAGGTACGAAACCCCATCAGCAACCGGTTTAACAAGGTGAGGGATCCATTCTGGCAATGCTTCTTTTAACGAATGCAAGCCATTTATCCTCCTCAGAATAGTACTATATCAAGTGATTTCGTCCAAACGCTGAAGAACTATATACTTGCCTCCTTCAAATCTATTCGAGATTAATTGCTTTGGATAAAAATAAGCACTAATAACATTTATTTAATGATATATATCTGAATCCAATTGTGTGCATAATTCTTTTATCTATCCTAATAGTAGGTATAAAGAGGCAAGTTTGAATGCAATAGGTAATCTGCGAAACTACTCATTAGGGCGGACATAGAACATAGACTACATAATATCTATTCCTTGAAATAATAATAAGCGCATCATATTACTATTGACTAAAGTTTCTAAAACCGAAATATATGATGAATTATCCTCAATAAATTTTAAATCACTAAAACGCAATTTCCTTTAAAANGTACCTACTTATGATTAACTGGGTAATATACCAACCTAGGTTACCTATTTACATATATAGTTACATATATGTCTCCTAATTAAGTTAACTTCTCATTAAAATTTCGCAAATAAATACGAAAGAGGGAAAGAGCGAATATAAATATGGGAGACGAAAGATTAGAAGTGGCTGATTTTAAGTATCTAGAAAGTCAGATAAGTCAGGGCGGAAGGGGTAGTAGGGATATAAAACAGAAGTCACTTCTATGCTCGCGAACGGTTAATTTAGAAATTCTAAAAGATTGTTAAAGATGTATGTTTAAAGCGCAGCGCTGTACGGGTGCAAAACATAGAAGGTGGCTGCGGCGGAAAAGAAAAGGTTAGAAGCGTTCGAAATGTGCTATTGCAGGCGAATGATGTGGATAGCGTGAATAGAGAAGGTTAGAAATGAAGAGATATTAGAAAGAATAGGAAAACAGAGGACTTTATGGATGTCAATAAGAAATAGGCGAGATATGTTAGTATACCTTCTCAGGCTGAAGGTATATTAGAGGCAGAAACGGAAGTGAAGAGAGGTAGAAGTAGACCTAGTTTAGATTACTGTTCGCAAATAGTTAAGGAAGTGAGTTGTTCTAGTTTTAGGGAAATGCGAAGATTAGCTCAGCGATAAATTAATTAATTAATTTAGGCCGTTCTTAAAGAACTTGTTTGGTGTCTCCTCAACCCACCTATTTATGGCACGTTTTATGTCAGTTAAACTATCAAATTGAACACCCCGTAAGGGATTTTTCAAACCTGGGAACAGATGATAATCACTGGGTTCATGATCCGGGGAATAAAGTGGGTGCGGAATCAATTTTCATCGCAAATCGTTCATAACATTCATCGTTTTTCTTGCGGTGTGTGGTCTTGCATTATTCTGTTGCAATAGCGGACGTTTATACAACATTCCAGGCCGTTTTCTAACAAGTGTCTGTCGTAGTGGTCCGAATATTTAATTCGAAGAATATTCTGCATTAATTGTAGTACCTTTTTCGCCAGATAATCCATAAAAATAATCCCTTCCTAATCCCCGAATACACTGAGCATTACCTTTCCAACAGACGGAACTGTAATACGCGCCTTCAATGGAGGTCCTTCTTCAGGTTTGCGCCATTCTTTGGATTGACCTTTGGTTTCAGGTTTGAAATAAGGAATCCACGTTTCGTTAATGAGAACAGGCTAACAGCTCTTAAAGTTGACAACCAGTATCAGACCCATGAGTTTCTGTTCTAGTCCCAACAGCCTTGACACCCAGCGTACCAAAACCTTGCTAGGCCCAAACAATCATGAAAGATGTCATGAATTTGTAATGTACCTATACCTAGGCGCATACTTATTTGACGAATAGTCATTCGCCTGTCCTCTTTCAGTAGGTCTTCGACGGCAATAATGTTTCCTTCATTTACCGACGTGCTTGGGCGTCCACTGCATGGATCATCTCTAGTGATGTTCTACCGATTTAAAACAATCGATCCACCGATAAACAATACTTTTGGATTCTGCAAACTCACCAAACTTTCAAACGCTGAATAATTTCTGATGTTTTCTATATAATGACAATTATTGCTCCTTTAAATTTTGCTGCGTCTTCCATGGTTACAAAAACAGTACTATGAATACGCGTTTATATCAATCGAACACCTAAATCACCATCACACCATCAGATTGAACAATATTGCACTAGATAGTTGCATAAACATATAAAGACATGTCTAGCACCAATAATATTGCCTTTAAGTTCTGCGTGATTTAATTGTAGCACAATTCCCAGAACTTTGGAATTAATAAAAGTATTTCCTCATTCACTATCAAGAGCACTTCCTTAATTGTTTTTATTTCGGTACGACTAATATTTTCATTAACACTAATACATTCCAGACTGTGCTCACCTTACCCTATCCTTTTGAAATACTATTGACGTTTCGCAACCAGAAATAGATTATAATGAGCCGTTCTCTCATATTTATTTTTAATTTGCAAATAAAAAAATGTTAATTTCGGTTAAAGACTTATTTACTCATTGCCATTCTCCCTATTATATCATGTGAATATCTGAAGTCATGTGTTATGTGGCTACCCAAATAATGGAAACTGTCAATCACATCTAAATGAGTGTCGTCAAGTTAAATTCATCTTTTTATTACATTTATTGATGGAGATTTTGATGTTGTCAGAATCTTAGTTTGTTGATGTTTATTTTCAGTCCGGAATATTTAAAAATGTGATTCATTATTTTGTAAAAGTTTCCCTAAATTATTTATACTATCGGAAATTAATCCAATAACAGTTTTTCCATTAAACGTTCACTTCCTTTGCCTGCTTCTGAAAATTTCCTACTTCAACACTCAATAGTAATGTTGAATATTAAATACAAAAAACGACAGGTTTGAACTGATGCTCTCCTGATTCGATGTTTAAGGGCCGTCGTCGGCTGAAGTTGCTTCTTAACGTTTCGCAAGCTCGAGTTATGAGCTTCTGCAGAGGTCCTTCCATCGGAAGTCCAAACCAGCATCGGAGACGAAAGAAACTCTGAAGTAGCTGGCCAGTCATGCTACCGAAACGTTAGGAAGAAACTCCAACCGACGACAACCTTTAGATTCGAATAAGGACAGCATCAGTTCACAACTGGATGCAAAAGTCTTCACCAATTTCGAAGGACAACCCTGTGTTGCCATTACTTAACAATCACTCTTTTTCTTCCCGTATTTTATTATTGTTTCCTGATTTTTGTAAAGTTAGTAGATAATTTTTCTGTCTCTGTAAACTATTATTTTCATCTAATTCACTTCATCAAACGCTTTTTCTAAATCTACAAACGCTATGCATGTTTGAAGACTCAAATCCATAAGTCTATCAATATTTAATCGTAGGGTTACTATAACTTCTCTTGTACTGTTAGTTTGTCTGCAGTTATCTGCCAAAATGATCTTATTCTAGTTTGCATTATTTTTAACAGATCTTCGGGGCTAGAAAGGCTTTAGAAGGGTTGTATGTTCTTCACATGTAAGGGTGTTTTTTCGATGAGGCGGTCTTGCTCATATAAAAATCTTACAATAATATACTTTTAGACACAGCTTTTCTATTTTGAATACAATTCCTGTTTTAATATGTATGCAAAGTCATTATTGAAAAATATTCTTCTACTTTTCATAATTTTAGTAAGTATAAAAGATAAATAAAAATTGAAGAAAAGCAAGTTATGGATATATTTTCTAATTTGATATTAAAAAATAAACTTCCAGAAGAGATGAAACATAGGTAGTATATGTAGGTAACATGATCAAATTTCAACCTAGAAATAAAATACAGAGGAAATGCAATTTACATAATTTTCTGCTATTTAAATTGTAATGACCGAGTGCGTAAAAAGAAGAAAGTTTGCAACAGGAAAAGTTCCGCAAAATCCGTAATTAATGATTAGCACACTTTTTTTTAACACAATTACCTTGATAACGGTAAGTGGTACATCAACATCGGCGCCTCCTGTCAACCGGAATCCCCAAGGTGTGTTGTCTTTTCTTTTCAGTTTTAAATCCACAGCCATTTATTTGTATCTCACGTAATGAGTCCGAGTCACACTGACTACTTGCAACGCAACTGAATTTATTTCCTCGTTGATCGGCTAATGTTTTAATTTCGGACCAGAATGTTAATGTCACATGGCTCAATTTGAATCTCGTTATTTGGTCCAATGACAAATCTGCATATGTAAAATTACTTTTTGTTTGTTTTTGTAGTTTGTTCTCCTTGTGACACCCTAATACAAATTTCCATATTGTTATTGTACATAATTAATTAGATACTTTATCCTTGTAGAATTAAAATTGATAACATTCTGTATTCCTTTCTAGAAAATTCCATATAAAATAACTGATTCTTTTTTTTTTAAAAAAAAAGCAGAAATATTATGGTTAAGGATTCTATCTAATAGATACTTATGATAAGTGCGATTTTCAATAAAGAATTAACTCACTTGCATACTAAAAGTGATTTAGAAATAGGGTTTTCAATTCCGCGTTACCGCATTTCAGGTCATTTCCCGCATATCAATGAGACCTGCGGAATTCCCGCATTTGTGCAGTAAGTCACGCGCAGGAAATTTTTAAATAGAACGAATCCGTTTAGTGATAAAGATGCAAAAATTACCACAGAAGAAAATTTATTGACTAAAGGAGAACTAGAAATACAATTAATTAAAAAAGTGATACATCAACAGTGAATGTGTCAGCGACAAGTTAAATTTTGAAAAAATAATTAAGGCTGAGATAACTGACGAAAATAGGGAAATAAAACGCAAATACTTACCCTTTATCATAATTATCTGAACAGTATCACCCCTACAAGTGTAGGCTGCAGCCGGTTACGTATGTCTGTAATCCCTTAACAAATAAGCTGATGGTCAAGACCATAAATATCATTTATTTATCAGAACAATAAGTAACTTTTATTTTTATAATTTGTGTTTTTTGTTTCATTTCTTTAACACGAAGTTTCTTCTGATTTAAGAGATGTTTATTTATACATACAACTGTAAAATACACGATAATATGTAATTGTAGTATGACAAGATGCATATTACCAATTACCAATAACTAAATAATAACTTGTGGATTGCATCGATCTCTTTGATTTTTAGTTTGCAAAATTTTTTATTTCATTACACGTCTATAAATTTAACAGCAAGAAGTACGTTAAGTAAATAATGAGACGTAAATAATATATTAATTAATAGTTAATAAACATATGGTTTTTAACGTATATAATGCTCACCTGTTTAATTTTTAAATACTAGGAATTGTTTACATTTCATTTGATGAAGTTCCACAATAAAAGCATTGCAGTAAAGGCGAATTTACAGCAAATTTCTATCCGGAATAGAAAGATTGCAAACCCTATTTAGAAATTATATTTATACTACTCAAATTTGACGAAATTGGTTAGATGAAGCTTTTACTTCTCATAACTTCACATTAAAATAGGAAAACACACATCTTTTTTGGTCACAAAACCTTTATTGTTGCCTAAAGAATTACTTCACTACACTGCGATTTCTTCAGGCGGATGAAATTTTATGAACTAATTACAAGTGCAGTTGTTTAATTTTCTTAATAGTGTATTTAAATATTAGACGAAAAACATGGAAAGAAAAAACTGTACATAAAAGAAATAATATCTTCGAATTTTGAATACAACTAGATTGTATGAATATTTTAGGAAT